CCGACCACTGGACTAGGTGATCTGGAGATCCCTGTGGGCGAGTATATTATTAGTCTCCAAAGATTTTATAGACCATCTTTAAGGATTTTGTTAGACTCTTCTAGAGGGCCTTGAGGCTTCCCCCCCCGAATATTATTATTATTTTTTTAATTTTAATTTTTTTTCTTTATTGATTAAGGTATTACATATGTGTCCCTATCCCCCCATTGTTCCCCTGCCCCCGCTCATGCCCTCACCCTCCTGGTGTCTGTGTCCATTGGTTAGGCTTACTAGTATATGCATGCATACAAGTCCTTTGGTTGATCTCTCCCCCTTCCCCCACCCTCCCCTACCTTCCCTCTGAGGTTTGATAGTCTGATCGATGCTCTCTATCTCTGGATCTTTTTTTAAAAAAAAATATATCTTTACTAATTTCAGAGAGGAAGGAAGAGGGAGAGAGAGATAGAAACATCAACGATCAGAGAGAATCATTGATTGGCTGCCTCCTGCACATCCCCTACTGGGGATCAAGCCCGCAACCTGGGCATATGCCTCTGGCCAGAATCTATCCTGGTACCCTTCAGTCCTTAGGCTGACGCTCTATCCACTGAGCCAAACTGGCTAGGGCTCTGGATCTGTTTTTGTTCATCAGTGTATATGTTGTTCATTATATTCCACAGATGAGTGAGAGCATGTGATACTTATCTTTCTCTGACTGACTTATTTCACTTAGCATAATGCTCTCCAGGTCCATCCATGCTGTTGCAAATGGTAGGAGTTCCTTCCTTTTTATATCAGCGTAGTATTCCATTGTGTAGATGTACCACAGTTTTTAATCCACTCATCTGCTGATGGGCACTTAGGCTGTTTCCAAATCTTAGCTATGGTAAATTGTGCTGCTATGAACATAGGGGTGCATATATCCTTTCTGATTGGTGTTTCTAGTTTCTTGGGATATATTCCTAGAAGTGGGATCACAGGGTCAAATGGGAGTTCCATTTTTAGTTTTTTGAGGAAATTCTTTACTGTTCTCCACAGTGGCTGCACCAGTCTGCATTCCCACCAGCAGTGCACGAGGGTTCTTTTTCTCTGCATCCTCTCCAGCACTTGTCATTTGTTGATTTGTTGATGATAGCCATTCTGACAGGTGTGAGATGGTACCTCATTGTCGTTTTGATTTGCATCTCTGGGGTGATTAGTGACTTTGAGCATGTTTTCATATGTCTCTTGGCCTTCCTTATGTCAAACTCTTTCAAAAAGTATCTATTTAGGCCCTGGCTGGTTTGGTTCAGTGGATAGAGCATCGGCCTGCAGACTGAAGGGTCCCAGGTTCGATCCTGGTCAAGGGCACATCCTCAGTGGGGGTGTGTGCAGGAGGCAGCTGATCGATGTTTCTCTCTCATGGGTGTTTCTAACTCTCTATCCTTTTCCCTTTCTCTCTGTAAAAAAATCAATAAAATATATATATTTTTAAAAAGTATCTATTTAGGTCTGTTGCCATTTTTTGCTTGGGTTGTTTATATTCCTTTTGTTAAGTTGTATGAGTTCCCTGTAAATGTTGGAGATTAAACCCTTATCGGAGAGATAACATGGGCAAATATGTTCTCTCATTCAGTGGGCTTTCTTGTTGTTTTGTTGATGGTTTTGCTGTGCAGAAGCTTTTTATTTTGATGTAGTCCTATTTGTTTATTTTCTCTTTAGTTTCCATTGCCTTAGTAGCTGTATCAGTGATGATACTGCTTCAGCATATGTCTGAGATTTTGCTGCCTGTGGATTCTGCTAAGATTTTTATGGTTTCCCCTCTTACGTTTAAGTCCTTTATCCATTTTGAGTTTATTTTTGTGTATGGTGTAAGTTGGTGGTCTAGTTTCATTTTTTTGTATGTATGTGTCCAATTTTCCCAACACCATTTATTGAAGAACTCTCTTGACTCCATTGTATGCTCTTGCCTCCTTTGTCAAATATTAATTGAGCATAGTGGTTTGGGTTGATTTCTGGGTTCTCTGTTCTATTCCTGGTCTATATATCTATTCTTGTGCCAGTACCAGGCAGTTTTGAGAACAGTGACTTTGTAATATAGCTTGATATCTGGTATTGAGATCCCTCCTACTTTGTTCTTCTTTCTCAGGATTGCTGCAGCTATTCGGGGTCTTTTTTTATTCCAGATGAATTTTTGGAGAGTTCGTTCTAGGTCTGTGAAATATGCCATTGGTATTTTAATGGGCAGTGCATTGAATCTATAGATTGCTTTGGGTCGTAATGGACATTTTAATGATGTTGATTCTACCAATCCATGAACAAGGTATGTTCTTCCATTTGTTTATGTCTTCCTCTCTTTTTTCAGTGTCCTATAGTTTTCTGAGTACAGGTCTTTTACCTCCTTAGTTAAGTTTATTCCTAGATATCTTGATTTTTTTTGGTGCAGTGGTAAATGGGATTTTTTAAAATCTCTCTTTCTGTAAGGTCACTATCTATATATATAATCTATATGTATAAAAGGCTGATATGCTAAGTGTCCCTCCACCCGTCTGACCGGTCGCTATGATGTGCACTGACCACGAGGGGGCAGATGCTCAATGCAGGAGCTGCCAGGCTGCAGTGACTTGGCAGTAGTGGTTCTCGGGTGATGCACCCCAAAATCAGAGAGGAGGGAGCCCAATTCCTCGAGGGGCTACACAATTCCACCTTTGGCCATGGGTTATGTTGTTGTTGGGGCACTGTCGGCCCCAAATCTGGTTTACTGTACACTTGGATTTGCGTTCCACACCCTGTACAACAGCGACTTTCCAGAGTGCCCTCTCACACTTCGGGACCCCTCTGGGTATGTTGGAGAGCTAGTTTCGGCCCGATCCCCACAGGCCAAACCGAGGGACCCAACTTGCCGGAGGGACCCAGCTCACTCTGCAGACACTGGGGAGGGATGGTGGGAGGTTGGCTCCAGGGCGTGTCTGGCCTGTCTCACCCAATCCAACCCTGCCGGCCACCTAATTAATTTCCTTTCAATGTGCATGAATCCATGCACTGGGTCACTAGTTGGTGTATAAAAATGCCATAGATCTCTTG